ATAATAACAATGATTTTAAGAGCTTACACATAATTTATAAGGCTTAGTTGTGTATGTTACAGAATTGTTTTTGTTTGAAATGGTGATTCTGTTAGTATCTGCTGGCTAAACTTGTAATGTATCAAATCAAGTAGCCAACTAATCTTCATGAGATTCGTACATAACATTCTATAGATAGTGGTAGAAATTTAGAGTGCCTAATTGTAATTTTTGGCGGTCAATTTTAGATACTACAGTTTTTACATATTCAGGACAGTTATTGTGAGTATCATCAAATAAGCATAGTTTTAGTTATATAAGTCCAAGTAATCATTCTTATCTCAATTTTTTTACAGATATATACTATAATAGTCAAAATATAATTTTTAAATATGTTATATACATGTACTATAACACTTTTGAGAAGTAATCTACAAATCTTTTGAATTTTAGTTGAGGCGAACATCTCGCGACACAAATCACGTGATATATTGCCATTCTAAGAAATTATGCAAGTAGCAGTAATCGGGCCTCGAGTATTGCATTTAGTGTTCCATCTGGAGAGATGAATGGACATCCACTATTAGTAACAAAGAAGTTAGTAAATTCCTTGTCAACCAAGTAAAAGCAAAGAGAATAATACATACTCATACATCAACTCTCCACCCTTAGACCAACCCGCTGTATTCTCCTTATTTTTACTCTTCTTCATATCATAAGGAACCTCTTCCAACCCAGCAACAAGCACAGTCTCAGCAACTCTCGCGCGCTCTTCCTTCTCTTTTCTCGTCTCCTTCCCACACTCAGCTCGATGTTCCTTCTTGACTTCCTTACGTGCTGCGCGTTTTTCTTCTCGACTTGGGCGGGTTTTCGTCTCTGGATTGATTGAGAGGTCGACTTCGTCTGGGAATGGTTCGGGTGAGGCAAGTTGTGCGAAGTAAGACGAGAGTGGGGGGAGGGCGAGGAGTGGAGAGGAGCCGACTGATGAGAAGGAGATCATTATTGGTGGTCTTGGTTGGTGAGATTTGGGTTGGGTGTTGTCACTTCCAGACCGTCTGGTGAAGAGAGAGGAGAACATTGAGGACCTTTGTTGTTGAGGTTCAGAGCTTTGTCTTGGATGTTGTAGAGTTGCACCTAGTGTTGGTGTGTTTGAACCAGAGTGAGAACGACCTGGGGCTGGAGGTGAATCTCGCTCTCGCCAGACGTTAGACGAGTCAGAAGATGGTTCGTTGACGAGTAGACGGGCTTCTGCGTAGCATTGTGCGCTACCTTCGAGGAGTGCGAGACAGAGGGCCCACGAACCTGGTGGTACAGAAAGGGCATGGGCTGCGTCAATTGCTGCTCGAGGTACATTACTTGGTGTTGAAGGTGTTGAAGATGAGTTGGATTTTGGAGGTGAATCCTTGGATGGAAGCGGAGGTACGACGAAGAAAAGTAGTTGCCATAGACGTCCTGGTTTGCAAGAGTTAGAGACGGTAGATAAAATATATACGTAAGTGGAACGCACCTCGAGCAATGAACTCAACAGAAACGTTTCCAGAAACACGCATTCTGCGCTGAAAAATCTTGAACTTGAGTTCTACGCCAAACCATTCTGCATCAGAACTTTTCCCGCCCTCGCGTAGTTCTGCAATATCTCCAAATATGAATGAGGCTTCCTTTCCACCTTGCTTTTCAGACTTCTTTCCCTGGCTAGACCGTCCTACATGACTTGGCAAAGATGCGTTGGTATTGGCGAGTAGCATCCGGTCTGTACCCGAAATCGAGGTTACACCATGTACAGAGCGCAATCGTTGGAAGAGTGCGTTGCTCGATGCGACGAGGCAAGCAGAACGCAGCTCTGACACCGCGATCGGTCTGAGAGGAGACGCTCGAGTGATGAGTGACACGAGGAATGCATCATCTTCTCGGTGGTCGCCCTTTCTCGGGCCTTCATTACTTATTGGACGCGATACGATAGCCCAGTATAAGGGTGCGTGTCCCTCGATACTCTTCTCTTGCAGAATGCGAGCCAGAGAGAGCTGATGCGATGCACATGCTGCTGCACAACTATCGAGGACGGCAATTGCGTCTAAGGCGCTGGAACGCACGGATGAGGAGCCTTGTACGACGTCGCGGATGAGTCCGCACACTGTTTCGCATACATCGGCCTGAGTCTTTGGAGTTAAGGGACCTGGCTCAAGTTTGTCACGCCTTGCGGGTGGCGGCCGTTCGATTGAGAGAGACTTGTCTGGTAGAAAAGGTGCAGAGGGCGATGTAGTATTGCTTATGCCTCGGGGACCAGTCGGAGGTGCTGAACGAAGAGTGCGTGGGCGAAGAAGAGAAGTGTTCCGCGGAGGAGGTGGAGGTGGAGGGCCGGAGAAGACTACTTGACCGGAGCTGGCGGGACCAATGTCATCGTATGCTGGTGGTGCATCGGTAGGTAGATCAAACGAATGATGCACGGGAGGTTTTGCGTCAACTATCATCCTGCTGCCAAGAGAGGGTGAAGAAATGGAGGATGAGGGCGAGTAGGAAGGACTGAGAATAAGACGTGCATGCTAGCACAGATGTATGCGCTGCGCAGTGCGCATAGTTTACTATGTCATCGTATGCTGGCGGTGCATCAGTAGTTAATAGTCGCGGGAAAGCGGTGCCTTATGGGGTGTTGATTGTCATATTGGTGCTCTGACTGTGGTCATCTTCCGCAGGCTATCCATCACTCAGTCCATATGTACACTCAATTCTATTTCCTGTGCCTGTGCAAATGTCAGCATAATACATATTCGCAGCATCTTCTCAATTTCTCAATATATTTTGACATCTACATAATCAATCATGGCTACACCATTGGCTAACCTCCCATGCACCATACTGCGTAGTACTCTAACCACTCGCTGCATGAATGTTCTGTCCTTTTTAGTTATTCTTTCGTGACAAAATGTATTCGGTAATGGAACTCAAAGCAAATCAACAAAAAAACGAGTATTTCTCAACTGTTGAGTGGCCAACATGAGATGGCGGGGAACAGTCCATTCTTGGCTACGGACGCAGACTGTGCCTAACGGCTTGATGCATTCAGGAACTAAAAAAAGGCACGTGTAGGTCGGGAAGGCGGCCCGTAGTGAGGACCTCGGGGCCGGAACAAAATGGATTGGTTCCGCACTATCGGACTGTCGGACTACAAGCAGCTATGCGCATGCAGAATCTATGTTGCGTTGCTGGATGGCTTTGACGTTGGCATGAGCGACGATGAACGACGATTCGGAATAGAGGCGTGTCTGATATGAAGTGCATGTGTGTGGTGGCGGGCCGGGCGATGTACGCGTGTCCATTAGTGCGCTTTGAAGTCGTTAGCGCCAGTGTGCGGGTGGCACTGGCACAAAGGGCGATACCCATGCGACGGTCTATCTTGGGCTTCAAGTTTGTCTGTGAAATCTACAGCTGTGCAGTAGTAATCTTGATTACATCATTTACATGTGATATGTCAGTTTTGCGATTAGTTTGTCCAAACATTTGTATTTTCATTTTCTCAGATCCATAATGCGGCCCGTGCTTTGAAGGAGTACACGCAATACACCTGTCTAACGAAGAGAGCAGTTGACCTATCATTGTGTTAATGACGTGTGCCGTAACCTTGGATATTTTTAGAAAGTCGCGTTATTGTCTGTCTGAGACACTGACTGGATCGCACTTCTTAGCTGACTAGTTGAGGCGAATGCGCATCTTCACTTAACAGTTAGTATACCAGTCAACAGCAATGACAAACCACCCTGTAATCATGACAGGCTATAAGCAGGCTCGGCTGATGGCCGACGGACCGTGAGCTGAAGATTATAACCATTCCGTCCGATCCAAAAGTGCGCGGTGAAACGACCAATTCTCAATCCTCTACTGTAATAAACAGTCTTCAATTCCAGTTACAGTCTAAGCATTAACCCGTTTTTCGACGTCCCTGATACCTGTCTTTCTTTCATATTTCCAACAACCAATTCATTTATCCTTAGTGAATCCCACTTTCCCGGTCATGGCAATTCTCTCCGCTTCAAGTTTCTCCCAGATTCCCTTCATCGACGGGACGACAATATTGAAGTCGCCGCGTTGCATGCCTTCCATGGCATACTTCGTGAACTCGTCTAGAGGCATCCAATGTTTGGAAAGGGCCTCGGTTGTGCCTTGTTCTGCGCGATAATAATCAAAAAACGCGTTGGTTACATCAACGCTGTATGTAACAAGGATCCAGAAGACGTACGATCGTGAAGTTCAGATTCTACAAGTCTATTTAAATGGATAAATTAGTATAAATTTCGCCCATTGCAGTTGATACTTACGGAGGAAGAATTTCCATGACATGCACATTTGTTCCAGTCAGGCTATTAGACAATGAAATGCTTAGGCTGTGCAAAGCGGCTTTCGTCGCACAATAGTTAGACACTTCTGCCTTTGGCACCATAGCGAGTCCGGAGGTAATCGGGATGAGGAAAGTTGGGTGGCCTCCTGCCTGAGTGAATTCAATTAAGCGCATATATGCGTTCCTTAGATGGCTAATAAGAATAACAATGCAATCAGTTACTTACGCTGAGTTTGAGGAAATGGGGCAGGAAGAAATGAATCAAGGCCAGGATAGCGAGGTAGTTAACGTTACATTCCTGGAACAGCTCTTGGAATACGTGTTAGTATCACTGTATAATATATGATACTTTCTTTCTCACCGTCAAGATCAGTGCATTCGGGTTTCTTAAAGTTAGTGGCGCGCTGGACTCCAGCGGCGAACACCACCGCATCAACCTAAACGGTAGAGGGACGAAGTTAGAATAAGGGTATGGTGACCTTGGACTTGTGCCACCCGAATGTACTGACTTCTGGGAACTTTCGAATAACTTCCTCCGAAAATGACTTTAATACATCCTTTCCTGCAGATATGTTGTTAAGATGAGACTACATGAGAGTATGTCTCAGATGATATAAACTACATTACAAGCAATGACGAACGATGATGGAATACCTTCCATCATACATTCTACATCTGAGACATACCTACATAGTATATATAGACTAACTAATCAATGGACAATGAAGCAAGCTGTAAGAGAGTGAGCTGAGTCCACTATCCCCCCCTCTTTGTGTGATCCCTCTAAGCCTCTCACATAACCTCTCTTTCCCCTTTCTTAACAGGTTATAAGCCTTGAGCTCCCTGCCTATGCTTTATCTACACTCTACTATGTCTATGCTCCATGCAGTTCTATGCATCACATGCACACACACAGTATACTATAATGTAGAACTTGACTCACCTGCCTGAGTATCCTAAATGCGAATCAATATGCTGTAAACACACAATCTACTATACTACATACAACCCAGACATTATATGATTGTCATCTTAGTGATTATGATCATTGGCCCAGTAATAACATAATCTATGCAGGCAACGTTGAAACTACAATGAGTATCACTTACTGTGATTATTAAATGCTAAAATACTCTATAATATTACAGAGATCATGTTATAATAAATTAACTGATCATACTACAGACAAACGTTAAAAAGATTAATAAAGCAAATGCTACTCTTCTACTATTAACATTACAATAGTATAAATGATTGACACTGTCAACAAGCACACATATGTTATAGTATAAATCAAATAATAACACATATAGTAATATTACAGCCAAACAATTAATGCTCAAAAACAAGTGCATATATGCTAAACAGTATATTAAATCAAATAAATAAAACATTTAACATGTATTATAAACAATAATACAATTGCAGACACTATAATAACAATAATAATAACAATAATAATGATAATAATACAGATAGAACTAACAGAATGAATACAGAACAATATAATAACTAACACATATTATGGTCAAGCAATTATATGTAACATATTGGATTCAGCAGTTACATGTCAGATATTACAATTACTTATCAGATACTGAATATAATACACATATCTAAGATATACAGACAAGTACAGATATACAAAAGTATAATTAATAACTACAAATCAAAAAACAACACTACAGAGCATATAAACTAACTACACACAAAAGAATAATGTTATAATGTATAAATACTGATTACAGCACAAGACAAGTGTAAAAATTATAATTATCAAACAAATGATACTACTTTACACATTAATACAATTGTGTAAATGTATACTAACAACAAACAAAAGAATTATATCTCTAATATACTCAAAACAATGTAACAATACAACTTAATTACAAAGAATGTTTTTTCACAGCAGTTGATTATATAATAAATTTCAAAGTTGTAACAGTAACATCAACTGTACAGTGTATATACCTTAACAAACAATTATTAAATTTACATTGTAACAACATAGCTTGTAGGAGCAAAGTATTAAGCTGATAAGGCTATTACAACAAATAATACAAATATAATTATTACAAATGCATTATTATAATAATTACAATTGAAAACAATCATAATATAATATGATTAAATAAATTAATAAAATGTTTAAGCTATTATCTCAGACAGTATAATATAAAATAGGTAATAATAGACACAAGTGTACTTAATAGAACTCAGCACATTTACTAAAAGCACTACATAAATAATAATTATAATGTTATTAAACAAATATTATACAGAAACAAACAAATTACCATATGTTTTTAACACAAAAACAAAATATTCATTCATAGTTATGAATGATTATTAATAAAAGATAACAAGTGTGAACAAAACTTGTATATTATACATAATGTGTACTTATCTCCTATAACAAACAAAATACACATTATATAAGTTGACAAACATTAACAGTAACAAAGATATAATAGTAATAACATTTAAATTACTCATTATAGAACATAACAAATGTTACACACTACTTTAAAATACTAATAATTAGAAATCGAACCACAAAAGCAATTACAATTATATATATAAACATTATATTATAACAACAATTAATAAATGTTAAAGAAATATCCAATTCTTCAAAGAAATACCTTCTTGAATTGAAGGGGAGAAAATGGATAATATGTACAAAAAATTAATAACTAAATATAAACAACAGAACAGAAAGTATAACACTATGGATGCTACGAAAAATAGAATAACAAAATGCACAGATTAAGTACTGACTAAGTAATAGAAGTTACAGACAGACATAACAGATCATAAAGGTAAATCATTTGGTACAAAGCAAAACTATGTCAATCAGAACTAAATAACAGAAGTCAACACAATGTGCAATTGAACTTCAACATTAAATAAATAATAATTCTACTACAAAACAAATGCTCATACTTGGCAAATAATATTAATATGATAATATAATTAACTTAACTGTATTTAATACAAAAATAAATAATATATAAACAATTATCACATTATATAATGAAATAATTCATTAATTCAGACTATAGTTCATAGATAAAAGTGATGAATAATGAAAATAATACTTTGGAACATACATAAAACAATAAATAATATATCTATATGATAATACAAATATAATTGCAATATAATTTGCAACTACAACTGAACAATATGTAGATAATAACTATATAAACAAGTATGGAGCACATACATATAATTAAATAAAACTATTAAATCAATTCTTGTACAAACAATTAATTTGCCCTCACTACACAATTAATACAAGCATGAACAGTATTATAATACTATGAAATACATTGGATAGATACTAATAAGTATATCTATACAATGATTCAAATAAAATAAATAAAACTAATATATAAAATGTTTTACCTAGCAAACCAATTAACAAATAAAACGTTAAACAAATACTACAATTGTACATAGCACTAGATTAACTAAAGAATGCTAGGAGACAATTATAGTAAACATAATCCAATATATCAATTATATACAGATTGTGTTATAATACATTATTCTTCACAAAAGAAAAAGCAAAGAACAATAGCCATAACATACACATATATATATACAATACTATGATTGTAACAATTCACAATAACATTGTTAATGATAAATAATATGAGCACACGTTAGTAATGATTTACAACAGATAACTATGTTGGCTATTAAAGAAACAATACAACAGATTGTATAGTTACTCAGAATGTATCAGAAACAATCAATTAACAAACATAACATTAATAAATTAATACATAACTATAAACAATAATGTAAAGCAAACAAACAAACAATACATTCATAATATAATACATACACAATACACTTAGACACATAGTAAGATGCTTACAGCCAGACATAACATCTATGCAACAAATATATGTTAGTATAAAACCTTATTGATCTCAGAATAAAGTAATCTGGCAAAAACAAATATTATTATTAATATTACA